GTGGAAGTGCTAACCAGTTAGCAACCGGGTTTCCCAGTAGATGTGATATGACAACTGAGTGGCTGCCCATCACATCCACAAGATTTCAGCACGTGTCTCTACTTGTGTTTCCACCCTGTGACTCTAGGTTCGATGCCTGTCCACATTAGATCCCTGGTGGTACAAGCACTGAATGGGAAAAGTGACAGGATCTCTATAATGTGCATTAATGTTTGTGCATTAACATGCATTGTGTTACGTCACAGTGAACAAACACAAAACATTTTTTTTTTTTAATGCAGCACAAAACAACACCATTTTTCCATCTGTGAGATGTTCTCCAAGATGTGTGAAGTTAGCCTCAAGGTTTTTTGCTTATTTATAGCTTTGCGTTCCTTTGATTGTTACCATTTTGCAAAAAAACATAATTTGAAATGTACAAATATTTATTATTCATTAACTCAATACACTGTTATTTTTTGGAAGTCATGTTATGTTATGTTTGTGTGCGCTGATAATGATTTTAGTGTGTTTTTTTTGTTTTTTTTTTTAAGTAAAGATTTGATAAATATTTGTTCAACTGTCATAAGGCCTACAAAATCAATAGCACCATCTATTCTCCAAGTTCTGTACTTTCAGGAAATGTTTTTTTTTTTTTTGGGGGGGGTCTTCTACTAACTGTACTAAGTTGTAAATAAAAACTTTTAAAAATAATAGCAACAATGGTCCAGCTGCTGTAGCTAAAAAATGGGAGGCAGAGACAGACGGTGAAAGGGTAAAAAAAGAATTCAGTTTTTTTTCCCCAAGTTTTTTTAGGTATATGTGTATACCAGATCAGCTTGGTATAAATTGTCTTATTAATGTGTGCTAATTGTTTTAAAACACAAAGACTTTCTATAGTCACTAGTCTACAGGTATCTACATTTGATACAGTAGCATAAGGGTCTGATCGCAGCACAGGTGTACCTGTGGTTTTTGTGCAGGTTACCACTGGTTTCCCATAGACTTTCTATTATGTCCCACTTTTTTGTCTCATTTTCTGAAAGTGCACAAAATAGGCAGCTTGTGGCGCACTTAAAAAAAAATGCCAAAAATACGGGACATAATCATGTCTATGGGAAACCAGGGTCAACGCTAGAAAACCACAAGTACATGTGCACTGCACCCAAGCTGTAGCGCAGCAGTGTGAATGTCCTTAAGTATGAAAGACTGCATGTTTAAAAATGTGAATGTGATAATTACTTGACTATGAAATAAAAGATGCTTTGACTCCCAAATTGGCTGACCATCATTTACCATTGCCTAAATAACCACACATGTCACAGGTTGGAGTTTAATGGCCATACCAGTCCTTTATTACCGCATACCACTATATAAATAACATATTAACATTCAGTGCAGTATGAATGGAGCCCCACGGTCCTTGTAGGCATCTACTTCAAGTACCTGTGTAAAACCGAACATTAGACCTCCATCCGCAAAACACTGACTCGAAGACAAACTGATACCACCAACCAGAATAACGGGAGCCATACTCAAGGCAGGTTCCTACCAATGTACATTTTTTGCCAATAATAAAACATATACAGGGACCTTCTACCCTGTCACCTGCCATGACATAACAACACAAAAAAACATTACCAACTTAAAGAATACCAGAAAAACCAAAACCAAAGAAGGGAGGGAGGGTGGTAAGTTTTTGCAACTCATGCTCTCCTCCAACTGAAGGCTTCCCAAGGCCTTCTCACAGACCAACCCCTGAAGCCCCACCTGCTCCTGCCTTATCCACCAATCTGGTAAGTTCCACTTGAACCCGGTTCACTTTTAGCCTACCAAAAGACCCAATCTATGCCAAACCCCTTTTAACCCAGTCATTTTGGCCAAGGTCTAGGCTTTCCATTACTTACTCCATGCCTAACATTAAAGTAAATCACAAAAAATATAAAGCAAATAATGTCTGTATAATAAAAATACATTATTATAAAGCATAATAATCACTACATTTCAATCAGTGATCATTGTTTAAAAAACACATACACCAGATAGATTCTCCTGCAGTGAATGATTGGTGAATTAAACACTCTCTGCTTTATGAATAGGTCCAGATGCTTTCCCTTTAAAAGGTGGAAATGTTTGGATACTTAAAAGACAGTTGCTGTTCAGATTCAATTCTGAATGGAATATCTCATATTTTTATGAATAATTTCTTGATTTAACTCTCCTGAATTGAATGTTGGTCAACATCTGCACTTGGTTCATTTATTTTACATCACAGTATACTAAGGGAGCTTTTTAAATTTTAAACAACTCATATATATTTCAGAGACGGCTAGCTATACGTTTTTATTTACAAATCAGACTGTTTGATGCTGTTTGCTTGTCATAATGTTTGCTACATTCATATATTATATTTTTCTGTATAAAATTTGTTTCTAGGGAATTGTGCTTTGCTTGAGTGATATCAGCTGTTGTTGGAGTGATGGAGGCTTTTGCCATTAAAGGACCAAAAATATTGCAATATGATAACTGTATGAGAGTAAAACATACACTTTTATTATTCACTTATGTTAATATTTTATTAAACAAACATTAAAAGCTGAAGTATAGTTTAAAAAATTCCTACAGCTTTAAGGCTCATTAAGGCATACTTTGAAATTTTAGATACCGTGGATGCCAATTAAAGCCCAATACATTCTGCATGTGTTTTTTAATGCATTTCCACCACATTAACTGCTTGCCTGCCACCCTATAGTAGTAGTAGTACTGCTACAAGGCAGTAGGGCTGTGCAAAATGATTTGCATTACTGGGTAGGGGTCGCTTGTGCACGCCGCACTACCAGCGCCACCATTGGTGGTTAGGGATGTCAATCACCTGGTCCTGGCCAGAGATTCCCCTTTGTAACCCAGCAATCGCAGTGTAAAGCTGACAGGGGAGAGACCTGTGTGTAAACAACACAGGTCTCTCTCCTGCCACCAAGGACATGCTGCTTTGTATTTCTCTGCACAGCAGAGAAATACAAAGCAGCATGTCTCTGTAGTAAAACACACAGCACCAGGGGTGGACTGACCATTTGGAAACTCGGGCACTGCCCAAGGGCCTGGGGTCAGTAGGGGGCCCCATGAGATGCCCCTGGTACCTTTATCATAGGCTTTTTTGAGTTTGGGCAAGGACACGGGGCCCCATGATCCCCTATTGCCGGGGGGGGCCCATGAGTTGTCATCCGCCCATGCACAGCACACAATAAAACAACACACAGTTAATCCTTTGGTCGCCCCAGATGTTAACCCCTAACTGTCCAGTGTCATTATAAGTGTCAGTGCTTTTTATTAACACTGATCGCTGTATTAGTGTCACTGGGGATATCATGTGGCAGTTAGTCAGTTCCCACCCAGTGTCAGAATGTCCCCTGAGGTCTCGCTATAAGTCGCTGATCACCGCTATTACTAGTATAGAAAAATAAATAAAAATTCCAGTATATATACCGGCATTTGTAGATGCTATAACTTTCATGTAAATTAATTAATTTAGACATATTGAGATTTTTTTTTTTTTAGCAAAGACGTAGCAGAATACATTTTGGTCTAAATTTATGGCAAATGTTTATTTTTTTACATTTTTTATTGGATATGTTTTATAGCAAAAAGTCAAAAATATTGTATTTTTTTTTTCAAAATTGTCATTTTTTTTTTTGATAGCACAAAAAAATAAAAAATGGAGAGGTAATCAAATATCACCGAAAGAAAGCTCTATTTGTGGGAAAAGGGGACATAAATTTCATTTATGTACAGTGTTGCATGACTGCGCAATTGTCACTTAAAGTAACGCAGTGCCACATCACAAAAAATAGCCTGGTCAGGAGGGGGGGGGGGGGCGGGTAAATCCTCTGGAGGACAAGTGGTTAAATAATGCTTTCTAGGTGCTTCCTGTGTGCTGGCTTTCTTTCGTATCAGTTATTGTGCTACCATCTCAGCTAGTAATGCCTTCTAAATGCAAAGCTTAAAAGTAAGCCGAACACTACATGTTGGATACATTTTGACGCAACGCAATGCGAAGCGATGCAAAAGTGAGCATTTGCTGCGTGTAGAAATGCACATAATTGGCACAGAGCATCGAGAGGAATTTGTGAGGCTTCAAAAATTTAAATAAATTTAGCCTTAGTCACACCACTTACCTGTAATGTAGAGTGCCCTATGTTGTGCTGACAGCTGTATCCTGAACAAATCTTCACTACAGGGATGCCTGTCCTCTTTGTGTCTCAGAACTTCTGTGTCGCTATGGCTGCTTTCATTATTTTTCTATAGCATAAATATAAATTGAATTATGAATTTTGATTACCATATATAAGCCAAGCTTCCCCTGGCTAATGAGCTTGTTTGGTTCATGGAGCTTTTCGCACAGGGAGTGATGTTGGCATGAAGTAGAGGAAGGTAACAAACGACATGAACTTAGCCATGTTCTGAAGACAAAGGGGAGTAGTTCTGGAGACCTCAAAGAAGTAAGAGCTGCTTAGAAGATATCGTGGATAGAAGGAAGAAAACGCCATATGACCAGGAAGAACCCTACTGCATACATTGTCCATGCTCATTTGCTAGGAAGGAAAAATAGCTTGCACATGTGTATATTGTATGCATATTTTGTGATACTCTGTATGTCATGTATTGTTTTCATAAAATTGTATGTAGTTTGTTTTATACAGAGTTTTTGTTTAGTGGAGGACATAAATAAATGTTGTTTTTGTTGTGTGGGGTGTATTCATTTTTGCATCAACTATTTTAAGTAAAACTGAAGATTTTGCAATCTAAGTTATATTATTAACCTTACTTTCATGTAGTGAGCTAAACAAATGTCCTATAAAACTCAGTTTTGTCAAAAACTTGGAAAGTATTCTTGTGTTCATCGAGATATTGATTAAATTCCTACTTTTGAAAACGTATTATGCTGAGCACTATATATATATATATATATATATATATATATATATACATATATACAGTATCTCATAGAAGTGAGTAAACCCCTCTAATTTTTTTGTAAATCTGTGGGGCATCCTCAAATGGAAGGTGGGGGAGCGCAAGGTCTCTAACATCCACCAGCTATGTGATGTCGTCAGGGAGGAGAGTGGAAGAGGACTCCAGTGGCAACCTGTGAAGCTCTGGTGAACTCCATGCCAAAGTAGGTTAAGGCAGTGCTGGCAAATAAAGTGCTGGAAAATAATGGTTACCACAAAAAAATATTGACATTTTGGGCCCAATTTGGCCATTTTCACTTAGGGGTGTACTCACTTTTGTTGCCAGCGGTTTAGACATTAATGGCTGTGTGTTGAGTTAATTTGAGGGGACAGCAAATTTACATGTTATACAAGCTGTACACTCACTACGTCACATTGTAGCAAAGTGTCATTTATTCAGTGTTGTCAAATGAAAAGATATAATAAAATATTTAAAAAATGTAAGGAGTGTACTCACTTCTGTGGGATACTGTATATATATATATATATATATATATATATATATATATAAATAGGAAATAGTCAGAGTTTAAAAGCTGCCACCTCACTTTCCGGGATGACATTCAATATCATCCAAACCAGAAGTTAGCACAACAAGCAATAATGGCTCCACCCTCAGATTACAGGAGTTTTAGCCATAAGCAGGGGCGGACTAACCAATTGGAAACTCGGGCACTGCCCGAGGGCTCGGGGTCAGTAGGGGGCCCCATGAGACGCCCATGGTACCTTTTTCATAGGCTTTTTTGAGTTTGAGCAAGGACACAGGAGCCCCATGATCCCCTATTGCCCGGGGGGGCCCCATGAGTTGTCAGTCTGCCCCTGGCCATAAGCCTGTGGGCGGGGCCACTCTTCCTTCACATGGGGGTATCTTTCACTGTTCATGTGCTCACCAATGCCCAGGACCAGATGGGGGCCGCGTTCATGTGCAAGTCAAACATTATGGCAGTTCCCCAGCTTAAAGATGGGCAGTGCATTGTGTGTGGCTGTATGAACTGCAGAGTTCCACTGTAAAGCATTCCATCCTGTCGCCTTTTTTGCTGCATGTTGCATTTAAGAGAGACACAGCTGAGCCTATGCCCTCTCCACCTGTCCTATGTACCTGTGCTACCTCAGAATGGGGTCCCGTCATGCACTTGGCGAGGACCTTATGCATGCACTTAATTGACTCCTTTGCTTCCTTCCCATGCAGCCGTGGGTCTCTGTAACATGGGCTCAGTCCCAGTTGCTGTATGAAACTGACCGCTGGCGAGGGAGTCAGGTCACCAACGATCTCACTACCAAAAGACCTGTTGCCTAACCTGGTACCATGTTTCACGACAGGCTGCATGTGCCTTGCACTAGTTCTGGTTTACCCATGGCAATCACATACATCTTCTGCTGAGTAAACCTTTTGTAGTGGCTTTCCTTCATACCACACATGTGCTTTTCATACTCCTGGAACCATCATACACATCATGATGCAACTTTATCGAACATTCCTGCAACACAGTCCAACATGAACAGTTAATAAAACATTCCCTGACTATATCAACTGGGCTTCCCAGGCATGCCTTAGCAAGGTGATAGTTCATCTCTCTGTGTTTCTCCATGCTTGGCAATTCTCCAGGCAACTGGTGTCTTCCAGTGGACTGCAGGATGCAGCAGTCCCTCTTGGGAGCTCCACAGCGCTTATGACATTTTTATGAGTGAGCCAAACTCCGGAACCCCTGTAATCACAGGGTGGGTAGGCTTGGACCAAACAGCCCGGGAACAGAGGTGCAGAGCATTAACTCCTTCCCCAGCCTGGGCCAGCCAATTGCCAACCAGAACATTGCAGGCAACCTCCCTACAAGCCAGTTTGTCAACCCTGGTAGCACATACACATCACTTTTATATGGTTTGTGTGTGTGCTGCTCTACTCCACCAACAGAACCCTGCTGGATAATGTTGCTGGAGAAAGTCACATGTCACATGAGCACAACTTGGAGGAGGATTTCAAGGTAAGTAAAAAGACAGAAACATCTTAATTTACAGGAATAACACAGTGGTGTGAAAATATCATTCAAATGCAGTACAATATTATATATTTTCTATCCATTTCCACCTATACAGTTCATCTAACCACCATGTGAAGCTATTAAAGGACAAAAGTTACTGCTGAAGAATTTTCTATCCACCCATACTGCGGGTCATTAGATTTGATGACAGGTCTAATATTGTTACAGAGCATAATAATATTAAGCATGAAATATAGTCATAACACAAAATTAAGTAACAGAAAGGATAAGAGATGTAATCGTAGAGGGAACAAGCTTCTCTCTACCTGAATGAATTATACGTGTTTGAAATATCTCCGTAACAAAATGCAGCTGTTCCTGAAAGTGGAATAGATGGAGATGTTGTCCCATCCACGGGGGTGAAGTTGTAACTGGGAACCAGAGATCTGCAAAAACGGGATGGGGAGGAAGAAGAAAAAACTATAAGAATATAAGAGAGAGAAAATAGTAGAGAAGAGGTAAGAAAAAAAAGTGAGGTCTCTGCAGGATTATGTGGGCGGACTGTATTGAATCCAAGGGCTCCAAGTATGTTCAAATGTGTTTTGCCCATTATGCAATATACTTGACATCTTATCATTGGACAGGACCCAATTCAATTTATGTTTAACTAGTTTCAGAGGGACTGAGGGCTGAAACCAGCATCTAGCAATAGCTATTCTAGCTGACGGCACCATCTTAAAGCAGAACTAAACTGTATCTGCGCACCACAAACTGAATACGTTATTTAATTCATTTTTAATTTTCAAAGCAAACTCGCCCATCCATCCATGTCTTAGAAAAACACATTCGAGCAGTTCTAGTCGTGGTCATCTTTATTAAGGACAAATGATTCATGTAACATTTATTTCCTGGAATCCATCTGCCCTTAGCCCATGCATACAGGCAGGAGGGTGTGCTTGGAAGAGAAAGCCCGTCCTCCAAATGACAGAAAAAAAAAAGCCCATGAAGTCTCCTGAGATCAATGACATAATTTTTGCCTAGACCAGAAACTAGGAAGCAAGTGAAAAACGTTTAATACAAGTAAATACAATATACCTTTCTATCTATTTACCAAGGCTAGTGGAAGAGAAAGCCCTTCTTCCAGATGAAAGAAAAAAAAAATCCCATGAAGTCTCCTGAGATGTATGACATAATTTTTGCCTAGACCAGAAACTAGGAAGCAAGTGAAAAACGTTTAATACAAGTAAATACAATATACCTTTCTATCTATATACCAAGGCTAGAGGCATAAGGATTAACATTAGTTAATGTTGATTGACAGAGCAAGGGTTAGTGTGATTTTTATTTGTATGTCGAATTGGGCTTAAAGGTAGAGAAGGAAAAGAAGAAGAATGTGGTCATGTGTCTTGTAGACCACAAAGAAAGTTGTATGCTCAAAGGCTTGTCTCAAACTTTGAATTGTATTTTTGAAAAAACCAAAGTAGAACTGAAGGCATAACTTTTTTTCACTTGAAAAAGGCAAGGAAGGGTTATAACCCATGTCAGGTTTTACCATCATTATCTAGTTGGGGAAATTTGCTTTCACTTCCTGCCCCATATCCAAAACAGGAAGCAAGAGGCAATCCCCCCAAAGTTGGATCAATCCCTGGTAGTCCCCAAAATTCATAACCCCATTGAAAGATTTCTTCTCTATTCTTGTTCTGGTGGCCACTCAGAATTTGATATCTTCTTTCACTTTTGATGGTAATGATCACCAAGACAAATAGAGAAAGTGTTCTAATCCCACTCCATCTAAAACTTAAAAAAAGTTGTGTCTTCAGTTCTACTTTAACAAGGTTCTAAAGCCTAAAGTTTTTTTTTTTTTTTACCTTAATGCATTTTCTGCATTTAAGCAGAAAAAAAAAAAATCGTTGACTGTCAGCTTCCCCCAGCCTCCCCCCTATTCTTACCTAAGCCTAATCTCAATTCAACTCTGTGCTGAGAGCAGTGCTTTCTCTGTCTCTCCTCACTGGACATGGAGGTAGCAGCTGGAGCCATTGGCTTCTGCTGCTGTCAATCAAAACCAATGAGGATGGAGCGGAGCCCAGCTGCATTGTGTAAGTCAATAGATGCACATAACCTGGCTCAGAATTGAACCCATACATGTGCCCACATAGGAAGTGGCTTCCTATGGTGGCGCATGGAGCTGAGGAGGAGCCAACAACACCAAAGAAGCAGAGGACCGGCCTTCTTTGTGCAAAACCATTGCACAGAACAGGTAAGTATACCTTGTTATTTACATTTTTTTATTTTTTTCATAAACTTTACAATCACTTTAAAACTAGAGAGGAAAAATGAAAAGTCTGGTCACATGTCCTATAGACCACAAAGAAAGATGGATGCTCAAAGGCTTATCTCAAAGTACAAAGTTTATTTTAAAGGAATTAAAGTGTTACTAAACCCTGGACCCTGCATTCACTATATCTGGTCTCCCACAGTACACAGAACATGGAAATGCAATTATTTTAGTAAATATAAACTGCTAAATGTATTTTCTCAATAGCAATATATAGCAGTCTTGTGACTTCTATCAGGGTCCAGCAAAGCACTGGTTAAAGCTTGTAGGAGTTTTCATTCTCCCCTGATTGTCCTTTGAGACTGCATAACCACTGATTGGCCTTGTGCTGATCACATGCACTCTCCCAAGAAAAAAAAATTCTCTAGCAATACACACCAAACTGAGCATGAGCAGCTTGCCCCCAAGGCTCTGTTCTATCAGTAGATGGATTGAGGACAGTAGAAGAAGGGGATGTTTAGAGAAGAGAGGCTCAATCATCCTTTTTACACAATGCGGAGGATTAACCCCTTAGGTTCCACAGTGAGCATAACAAGCATGCTTTACTGCATATACAGACTGATTTTACTGTTGTGGGTTTAGTTACACTTTAAGACAGACATTCACACAGATGAAAATTGTATTTTTATTTTACATCCAAACAAGGACAAGGCGTAAAATCCATCACCGATAGAAGAAAAAGCAAAGGAATAGAGAAAACAATATTAGTTATAATGTTGTTTTTTTATATATTTATACTTCCTTTTTCTCAAACCTTTCTGAACGTGGAACTGCTTTTTAGGATAAGCCCTTCATGTACATTGGCATGTATTTGACAACAGTAATTTACTTATCCAAGCTGACAGATTTAAATCAATCTTTGTGTACGGAAACCCAGTCTGAAAACAACTGAGACTGTGTTGACTCTAACACAGTACGGAATCTGTAAATGAACCGACGGGGAGATTAAATATTCGGAATCTTAGTCCCACGGCTACCACAGTCTGCGAAAATACTTCCACCTC